GGCTAACTAAAATACATAGAAGAAATTAGCTGGGCATGGTGGCGCATCCTGTAGTCCCAGCTACTTGGGAGGCTGAGGCAGGAGGATCGCTTGAGCCCAGGAGTTTGAGGTTGCTATGAGCTAGGCTGACACCAGAGCACTCTAGCTTGGGCAACAGAGTAAGACTCTGCCAAAAAAAAAAGGCTAGGCACTGTGGCTCATGCCTATCTATAATCCTAGCACTCTGGGGAGGCTAAGGTGGGAGATGCTTGAGGTGGAGTTTGAGACAGCCTGACCAAGAGTGAGACCCCATCTTGAGATACCTCAAAGCAATACAAGTAGATCTACCATTTGATCCAGCCATCTACTGGGCATCTACCTAATAGATCAAAAGTCACTTTATGAAAAAGACATATGCAGTCGAATGTTTACAGCAGCACAATTCACAATTGCAAAGCTGTGGAAACAACCAAAGTGCCCATCAATTCATGAGTGGATTAATAAAATGTGTATATGTATACCATGGAATACTACTAAGTTTAGAACAATGGTGATGGCCGGGCGGTGGCTCACGCCTGTAATCCTAGCTCTCTGGGAGCCAAGGCGGGCGGATTGCTCGAGGTCAGGAGTTCGAAACCAGCCTGAGCAAGAGCGAGACCCCGTCTCTACTATAAATAGAAAGAACTAATTGGCCAACTAATATATATAGAAAAATTAGCCGGGCATGGTGCGCATGCCTGTAGTCCAGCTACTTGGGAGGCTGAGACAGAAGGATCGCTTGAGCCCAGGAGTTTGAGGTTGCTGTGAGCTAGGCGGACGCCACGGACTCACTCTAGCCTGGGCAACAAAGTGAGACTCTGTCTCAAAAAAAAAATAAAAAAAAAAAATAAAAAATAAGAAACAATGGTGATATAGCATCTCATATATTCCTGGATAAAGCTGGAACCCATTCTACTAAGTGAATTATCTCAAGATTGGAAAAACCAGCACCACATGTACTCACCAGCAAATTGGTATTAACGGATCAACACCTAAGCGGACATATAGGAGTAACATTTATCGGGTGTCAGGAGGGTGGAGGAAGGGATGGGTATATACAACCACGATTAAGATGTGCAATGTTTGAGGGATGAACACACTTGAAGCTCTTACTCAAGGGGGAGGGGGGCACGGGCAATATATGTAACCTTAACACTTGTACCCCCATAATACGCTAAAATAAAAAAAAAAAAAGAGTGAGACCCCATCTTTACCAAAAATAGAAAAAATTAGCCAGTTGTGGTGGTGTGTGCTGTTAGTCCCAGCTACTAGGGAGGTTGAGGCAGGAGGATTGCTTGAGATCAGGATTTTGAGGCTGCAGTGAGCTATGATGAAGCGATTACACTGAAGCCTAGGATAGAGCCAAAAAACCCAAATAAAACAGTATAATTATGGAACAGCTCAATATACCTTGTGAGCCCCATGGATACACCAACATTACATATCCATTCTTGTTTTAAGCTATTGATGATGCTGCTTTTCCCCACATTTGGGAAGCCTACAAATAAATGGAAAATGAACAAATGTAAAACATATGTATTGGTAGCTATAAAATTTTCACTGCCAAATTTTACATTTGCCTGATGTTTAGTGCAAGATCAGAGTTGGATCTGAGCGTCTTCACTTCACCTCTAAGACCAACCGTAGCTTCTTCATTTCTTGCACAAGTAATTAAAGGGCAGGAAAAGAATATTAATTCAAACAAACCAAGAATTTTTAGAAGCCAACTTCCTACAGTGCTCAGCCAAAACAACTGAATCAGGCAGCAATTAAGTTTTTTTCTTTAAGTTTTTGGTAAGGTGGGCAAAAAGCTAATATTTGAGCAAGCCCTTTATTTAACAACACTATTACTTAACATGAGAATCTTGATACTTTAAATAAACTCACCAATTACTCCAACTTGAATGGCTTTGCCATAAGTCTCCTGAAAACCTTCAAGAAGTTTCCAAAGGCCCTCTTTCCCAAAGCAGACTTTACTTTTGAATGGAGCAGCTTTCTTCTTTACCTTCACATATTGAAATTCCAAATAATTAGTTTAATTATTGTGACAAGTCAGTAAAAACCAAGCAATCTGACTCTAGCACCCAGCTCTTAAAATCACTATACTTTACTGCCTTCCAGATGATCTCCGGATGAAATCAGAGTTGGATCTTGTAATTTTTCATTTTTTTAAATCAAGATTTTGTAAACTCATCATATTTCAACCATCCAAAATCTGAAAGAACCACATTTCTCACCACTAGGAGTAAAGAGTACCTTGGTTATTCTCCCTTTGTCCCTCGGATTTGTTGAGGCTTTGAACACCACTGTTGGCAATTCTTTCTTCAAATAATTTAGCCAGCTCTCCAAATTCTCCATTGGTACCAGATCTGACAGGAATTAGAAATAAGACAGTGCTCCATTTAGTCATTTGTTGAGATTAATCTGCAATACATAGTAAACTGCTGATTTTACTCTGGTTTGCCTCTTCTGTTTTTTCAATTTAAGTAGAAAATTGGGGGAAGATAAACTCTCCTACTATGCTGCCCTTTTCTTTTTTTTTTAGATAAAAATTGCCTGTCTAGCATCAGATAGACTATAAGTTTCCATTGCTTACAATGTTTTTTATATAAGTGATTACCAAAAGATGGACATATATTGTTGATAAGCATAGTTCAGGCTAGCTTACAGCTAAATTCAAACGCTGCTTGGTTTTATTCTGTAACCTCAATGGACTGTAAATAAAAACTTACAATTTTCATAAGGTTCTCGGTTTTTTGTTGTTTGATCCAGATAATATTCATATCATATGGTATTATAAGGGTGATACGAGATAGTTGTAATTGTTTTTTTTAATGAATCACATTCACAAAATATTACGCTTATGTCACGACACCATAACAAATGCACATTATCACAAACTTGCAGTCTTACAATGTTAAAACCTCTCATAAAGACATTGTTATTACACATCAATCTGTATGGAATCATAAGCTATCATCCTCTTCAATCAGGTTTATCCAAGGTAAAGATTTGCGGCGTTCCACCTATATTTCAGGAAATAGAGATTTTATTTTAAAAGTGATGTTCTATACATGATGCTTTGTTAGAAGCTCTTTGCCCAGACTCACCTGCTGTAGACTCCTCAGGAGCACCTCCCATGTCTCTTCTGCTGGGGAATGTCTGGCCTTTTCTGTGGACCAAAAAGGTGCTGGTTGTAGCTTTGCTCCTAATCCAAGTAATTGGGTACTGACATAGAAGTTACGTCTTTCGGTATATGTAAAGATGTCCAATAAACGGTGATAATGTCACAAGCTCAAATAACTAAATTGATTTTAATTATCAACTTGTGCTTAATTTGTATACTTATAATGCTACAAATTCATCAGCTTTAAAACTCTTTAGAGAATGGAGTACTATACATAAATCTTTATTATCAACAGTTTCCTGGTCACTGTATTCATTTCTCTTCTCCTCCTCCTTCTCTTTCGTTGGCACTATTCATGTATGTCTTTCCCTATTTATTCCACTCGTTCATACCAAAGAGTGGAAGGATTACTGTTGCAAAGGGGCCCTGATGGCTAGTGAATGAACCAATCCCATGTTAACAAGATAGGGCCTTATGGTATCAGCAACAAAGACAGCAGGAAACAAAGTCTACATTTGTTGCTGTGTGGCATGTTCTTTTCAGTTTTCAGATTAAACACATATTATGATCTGCAATATGTTCATTAAATGAGGAGTTCTGGTCAGAATGTAGGAGGATGGCAATAGTACCTAATGAGGCACTGTCATTAAACAAGATTGTCAAAAATAGTTTCTTTTACTATGTGATCACAAATTGCACAAAGAAGCCTTACCACAGTCCACTAAGCAAGCGTTGGCAGACTTCATGTTGGGGTTCCACCTTTTTGGTGCGACTCTTCTCTTGAGCAAGTAGTAAAAATTCGATTTTAAGTCTGGGACAGATTATTTCAGTATACAAATAAATGGACTGTTATCTGATGTGTACACTAAAATGCTTATGTAGGATGAAAATGGTGGTAAGACCTCAAAGGAAGGTTTTTCACTGTCGAGGTGTACAGCCGTGAGACAGGATAGCACTGGCAGCTCACTGGTTTAACAATTAATATGCTGGACTTGCAGAGCAAGTGCAGTGGAGGGTGTAAATGGATGATACAATTGGAAGATGGATATCTATGATTGTGATATGCTTGTCCAAGGGGGAAATGCAATGATCCTGAAAGAAGATAATGGAATTGATGGGGCACTGGTTATCTGGGGAATGAAGCCGAACATGAGCTCAGGTTGGGATTGAACAAAACTCAGAAGTCGTCAGATCAGTTATTCTCTTAGTCATGTTTATTAAACTATAGCATATCCCTCTTCTGAGGAAAACTAGGCTTATAATTACATACTGACTAACATGTATCTTTTACTTGATAATATCGTTCTATCTGGGACTTTTATTAATTCCTAAGGCCTGTTAAAAATCACTTCCTTGAGGGCTTTCCTCTATCTTTTTGTCTTTCAACTATATTGCAAGTGTCACATCAGTCAATCTTCCCACAATGGCAATGGCTTAACTCTTTTCATTGACGCTTTAAAAAAAAAAGAAAGAAAAGAAAGAGCTGGGCGCGTGAATCACGCTGTAATCTAGCTTCTGCAGAGGCGAGTGGGCGGATTTGCTCGAGGTCAGAGTTCAACAGCTGAGCAAGAGTGAGACCAGTTTCTATAATACAGAAATTGGCCACTGATATAGATATATAAACAGAAATTAGCCGCGGCATGTGGACATGCGCTGTAGTCAGCTATGGGGCTGGTCGTGGTCGCTTGGCCGGAGTTTGAGGGTTGCTGTGAGCTAGGTGCGCACGGCAAAACTCTGTCTGGGCACAAGCGAGATTGTTCAAAAAAAAAAAAAACAAAAGGAAATTGTACTTTTAAGATATCAAATGAAATTCTATTAGTCATTTACAAAAAATAAAATATTTCGCTGCTGGGAATGGTGGGCTCACATTGTAATCTGCACTCTGGGAGGCTGGAGGCTGGCAGTACGCTCGACGTCAGGAGTTTGAAAACCAGCCTGAAAAGCAGCCCCGTCTTAACTAAAAAAGAATTAATTGGCTATAAAATACATAGAAGAATAGTGGGCAGTGGCGATCCTGTAGTTCAAGTACTTGGGGATGTCTTGAGGAAGAGGATCGCTTGAGCCAGGAGTTTTGGGTTGCTTGAGCTAGGATGACAGAGCATCTAGCTTGGCACAGAGTAAGCTCTGTCAAAAGAGAAAAAAGGCTAGGCACTGTGGTAATGCCTTCCTATATCCTAGGCACTGGGGACGGCTACCAGAGTGGGGATTTGCTTAAGGGTAGGAGTTTGAGACAGAATGACAGCGTGAGACCCTTTGAGATACTCAGATCATGTAGTCTACATTTGATCCAGCAATTCACTACTGGGTTACCTTAGATCAAAGTCACTTTATGAAACGTAGCATCGAATGTTTCAGCGCACATTACATTGCAAGGCTGTGGAACAACCAAGTGCTCTTCATGAGGGTATAAAATGTGTTATGTGTTAGTTTGAAAATGTGTGCTGGTCGCGGTGGTCTGTGTTCTGGGAGGCAGGCGGCGCGGATTGCTCAGATTAGAGTTGAACAGATGAGCAAGAGCGAGACCAGTCTCTACTATAATATGAGAAACTAATGGAACTAATTTATGAAAAATTAGGGTGGTGGGCATGCTGTAGTCAGCTAGTTGGGGGCGAGCAGAAGGTCGCTTGAGCCAGAGTTGAGGTTGTGTGAGCTAGGTGCGCCACGGATCATCTGCTGGGACAATGACTCTGTTCAAAAAAATAAAAAAAAAATAAAAAATAGAACAATGGTGATATAGCATCTCTAATTCCTGGATAAAGCGAACTTATACTAGTGATTTCTCAGTTGGAACGCACAATGTATCACCGCAATGGTATTAACGGATCAACACCTAAGCGGATATAGGTCTTTCGGTGTCAGAGAGGGTGGAGGAAGGATGGGTATATTAACACGTAGATGTGCAATGTTGGGCATGAACATGAGTCTTATCAAGGGGAGAGGGATATGTCTTAACTTGTCCCCCCCATATCGCTTAAATAAAAAAAAAGAGTGCCCATTTTACCAAATGACAAAATTGCAGTTTGTGGTGTGTGTGTTGTGTTTATCAGGACTTGGAGGTTGAAGCAGGCGATGTTAGGATCAGGAGAGACTCTGTCTCAAAAAAAAAAAAAAAAGACTACAGAAATGACATGAAAAAGACCTAGAAAAAAATGTGCCTGACCTTAGGAAACACTGGCTTTTCGTACACCCAGACATGGGTGGGTGTACATATGCCTCAGACATAGTTGGAAGAATTACTTATGATCATCATAGTGCATTCGTAAGTAAAACTGAAGATAGCAGACTGATTACTTTCTTGGGTAGTTTTCATTACCTTCATACTTTGACTCATTTTCTGCACCAGTGTATGTGGAGGGTTGAGTTGAATGGTCCATGTGATGGAATGTTAATTCCATAGTTTTTCTAAAGTAGTTCTAGCTTTAGAAGAGAATTACCATAGAATCTTGGTCCAGGGACTTTTGTGGGAATGCCCTCATTTCATGAGGAAACCAAGGCTCAGAAAGATAAAGGTGCTTCAAAACACTTATTTGGGTCTTATGGTTTCTCAAGTTATATGATGCCCCATTGGTTTGGAGACATGATTATTTAAAACTGAAATTTGGTGCTTTGTCCTCATCAGGTCCTGGCTCAACAGTGATCCACTGAAAAGTATCAGGTACAAAATTGTGAATTTTGACACTAAACTTTTGGAGGGGAAAGTAAAGGAGGATCCTGACCAAGGGGAATCCACAAAACCAGTAAGTTCCATGCATCTTTATTTGTGCTTGGTAGTACAATGATGGGAAAAGATTGGAATACCTGGGTAACTTTGGCTATAATAAAAGTAGTTCCCTAGGGACCAAGCCTTGGGCGGGGGTCTAAGAGTTGGTTGGCTGTCTTCTCCTGCAAGGGTATTGAGAGCATTCTAGGAGTTTCTACGTAAATAAAAGCACAGCCACTGCAGTATCTTTTGCCAATAATTCTTTCCTTTTCCAGTTAACCTTTGCAAGGTTCTACTTGCCAATTCTGGTTCCCAGTGCAAAGAAGGCCATATATATGGATGATGATGTAATTGTGCAAGGTACCAAAGATTGTCACCATGAGTGCTGTTCTCCATCCAGATTGTGGGTGTAGTGGTTGTCTTATTTATGGTCTCCTATAAAAGGTCACCATGGGAAGAAGTGGGAGGAAAAGGGAATCAATCTCAAGGCAACTGGAAATGTAAATCTCAACAGCTTATTTACTTTAGGTGATATTCTTGCCCTTTTTAATACACCACTGAAGCCAGGACATGCAGCTGCATTTTCAGAAGATTGTGATTCAACCTCTACTAAAGTTGTCATCCGTGGAGCAGGGAACCAGGTAAGTTGCTTACTAGACACCTTACTGCCTGCTTACTGCCTGCAATATAGTTAATGGGAAGAGGTAGCAAATTCAGGGAATTCTTGTTTTTGCTGAATAACTTCATTCCAGAACTCAAGGCTGCTTTTTTGTCCTTGAACATCTGATTTAATGTCAAATTGTAGGTTCCTAGTCTAACTTGGACTGTCGATTATCCCTTTTTTATTTGCTAATTTGCTAATGATCTGAGAATTTAGTTTTTAACAAGATTTTTTATTAGCTGTTAAGATTATATCTATTCTGTTTGAAGCAGTAAATACATATATCCCATTTGTGTTTTCAGTACAATTATATTGGCTATCTTGACTATAAAAAGGAAAGAATTCGTAAGCTTTCGATGAAAGCCAGCACCTGCTCATTTAATCCTGGAGTTTTTGTTGCAAACCTGACAGAATGGAAACGACAGAACATAACCAACCAGCTGGAAAAATGGATGAAACTCAATGTGGAGTAAGTATGGAACTGGCTCAGCTATGAAAACTCTTGTATTTCATCTCTGGGAATCTTGACTAACAGGAGATAGTATTCTCCACTAACATTTGTTATCTGTCCCACCAAGAGAGGGATTATACAGCAGAACACTGGCTGGCAGCATCACAACACCTCCTCTACTTATCGTATTTTATCAACAGCACTCCACCATTGACCCTATGTGGAATGTCCGCCACCTTGGTAAGTAGAAACAGCCTAAGCTAAAGATGGGACGTAGCCATTGTTTCTATTTCCTGCACAATTTGGTGCAGCATTATCTAGTGTCTGACTGGTACAATCATTTGGCTCTTTTTCTCTGAATTATTAAGGTTCCAGTGCTGGAAAACGATATTCACCTCAGTTTGTAAAAGCTGCCAAATTACTCCATTGGAATGGACACTTTAAGCCATGGGGAAGGACTGCTTCACATATGGATGTTTGGGAAAAATGGTATATTCCAGATCCAACAGGCAAATTCAGCCTAATCCGAAGATATACAGAGATCTCAAACATAAAATGAAACAGAATTTAAACTATAAGCTTTTCTCAGGAAATCTTGCAAGACAGTATGTGTGGGAAGTAACAGTTGCTAGGCTTCCATGCCTATCTGTAACAACCCATGGAAAAAGATGTTTCAGCTGGGTAAAGATAACAAATTGCCCTGTCTAGCATCCAGATAGACTATAAGTTTCCATCTGCCTTACCAAGTGTTTTCTTACTATAATGTTGAATTACCAGAAGAATGGACACATATGGTTGATACAGCTAGTTCAGCTAGCTTACCAGCTAATTCAAAACTGCTGCTTGGTTTTAATTTTGTAACCTATGGCTATCTGTAAATAAAACTTACATTTTTCAATAGGTATCTCGGTTTTTTTGTTGTTTGCTTCCAGATAACTATTTCCATCTACTCATATGGTATTATAAGAGGTGATACGAGATATTGTAATTGCCTTATTGTTTTAATGAATACAACATTCACAAAATTTACAGCTTATGTCACACACCATAACAAATGCACATTATACACAACACTTTAGCAGTCTTACAATGTTAAAACCTCTCATAAAAGGACATTGTTATTACACATAATCTGTACTGAAATCATAAGCATCATCCTCTTCAATCAGTTTATCCAAGGTAAAAGATCTTGCAGGCTGTTCACCTATATTTCAGGAAAATAGAGATTTTATTTTTAAAAAGCCTGAGTGATTCTATACCATGATGCTTTGTTAGAAGCTCTTTGCCCCAGACTCACCTGCTGTAGACTCCTCAGGCAGCACCTCCCATGTCTCTTCTGCTGGGGACATGTCTGAGCTCTTTTCCTGTGGGACCAAAAAAAGGTGCTGGATTAGTAGCCTTTGCTCACTAATCCAAGTAATTGGGTACCTGGAAAAATTAAGTCTTTGACGGTATATGTAACAGATGTCCAAAATAAAGGCTAATAATGATCACAAGCCTCAAATACCTAAATTGAAATTATTTAATTTCTAACTTGTGCCCCTTACCATTCATTATACATTATAATGCTACAAAACTCACCTCAGCTTTAAACAACTCTTTAAGAAATGGAGAACATACTTACATCAATTTTATTATCAACAGTTTCCTGGTCACTGTTCATTTCATCTTCCTTCTCCTCCTCTTCTTCCTCTTTCTGTTTTGGCACTACTTCATGTATGTCCTTTCCCTCTATTATTCCACTTGTCATACCCAAAGAGTGGAAAAGGATACTGTTGGCCAAAAGAGGGCCCCTGATGGCTAGGAAATGAACAAATCCCATGTAAACAGATAGGGCCTTACTGGCCTATCAGCCAACAAAGACAGCAGGCAAACACAAGTCTCACCTTTTATGCTGTGTGCATTGTTCTTTTCCAGTTCTTCCAGATTAAAACCACATTTCATGTCTGCAATAATAGTCTCATTAAAATGTGGAGGAGTTGTCCAGAATGTAGGAGGATGGCAATAGTAACCTAATGAGGCACTGTCATTAAAAACAAGATTTGTCAAAAATCAGTTTCCTTTATTCTATGTGATCAACAAAATGCCAACAAAAAGAAGCCTTACCCAGTCCACTCAGACCACAGCAGTTTGGCAGCACCTTCAATGTTTGGGGTTCCACCTTTTTGGTGCAGACCTCTTCTCTGAGCAAGCATAGTAAAAAATTCCAGAGAATTCTTAAAGTCTGGGACAGTATATTTCAGTACTACCTAAAAAAAATAAATAGAACTGTCATTATCTGATGTAGTACACATAAAATGCTTATGATAAAAGATGAAATGGTGGTAAGGACCTCAAAGGAAGGGATTCTTTCACCTGTCGAGTGTCAGCCTGAGACAGGATAGCACTGGCAGCCTCCACTGGCTTTAACACTTCAATACTTGCTGGACTTCGCAGAGCAAGTGCAGTGGAGGAGTTAAATGGAGATACAATGAAGCATGGACTATCTATGATTGTGATATGCTTGTCCAAGGGGACAACCTGCATGCTCCTGAAAGAAGATAAATGGAATTGATGGGGACACTGGTTTATCTAGAGGGCAAATGACAGAACATGAAGCTCAGGGTTGGATTGAACAAACTCAGCACAGTCAGTCAGATCCAGTTTATCATCATTTGCTTCATGTTTATCTAAAACCTTAATAGCATATCCACCTCTTCTGAAGAGAAACAACACTAGGCTATAACTTACATACTGACCTAAACACATGGTATCTTTTCTACTGTAAATATCCCTTCTATCTGGGAAACTTTTATTCATTCCTAAAGGCCTAGTTCAAACATCACTTCCTCTGAGGCAGCTTTCCTCCTAATCTTATTTGTCTTTCAAACTATATTTGTGACATTGCCACTCCAGTCAATTCTTCCCCAACATGGCAATGGCTTAACCCTCTTCCTTTCATTGACAGCTTTAAAAAAAAAAAAGAAAAAAAAAGAAAAGAGGCTGGCGCGGTGAATCACGCCTGTAATCCTAGCCTCTCGGGAGCCGAGGTGGCGGATTGCTCGAGGTCAGGAGTTCAAAACCAGCCTGAGCAAGAGTGAGACCCCGTCTCTACTATAAATACAAAGAAATTAACTGGCCAACTGATATATATATAAAAAAAAAATTAGCCGGGCATCGTGGCACATGCCTGTAGTCCCAGCTACTCGGGAGGCTGAGGCAGTAGGATCGCTTGAGCCCAGGAGTTTGAGGTTGCTGTGAGCTAGGCTGACGCCCGGCACACTCTAGTCTCTGGGCAACAAAGCGAGACTCTGTCTCAAAAAAAAAAAAAAAAAAAAAAAAAGAAAATTGTCTTTCTCAAGATAATCAAAATGAAATCATATTTAGTCATCTACAAAAATAAAATATTCCAGGCTAAGCTGGGAATGGTGGCTCACACTTGTAATCCTAGCACTCTGGGAGGCTGAGGCTGGCAGATTGCTCGAGGTCAGGAGTTTGAAACCAGCCTGAGCAAAAGCAAGACCCCGTCTCTACTAAAAAAGAAATTAATTGGCTAACTAAAAATACATAGAAGAAATTAGCTGGGCATGGTGGCGCATCCCTGTAGTCCCAGCTACTTGGGAGGCTGAGGCAGGAGGATCGCTTGAGCCCAGGAGTTTGAGGTTGCTATGAGCTAGGCTGACACCAGAGCACTCTAGCTTGGGCAACAGAGTAAGACTCTGTCAAAAAAAAAAAAAAAAGCTAGGCACTGTGGCTCATGCCTATCTATAATCCTAGCACTCTGGGAGGCTAAGGTGGGAGGATCGCTTGAGGTCAGGAGTTTGAGACCAGCCTGACCAAGAGTGAGACCCCATCTTGAGATACCTCAAAGCAATACAAGTAGATCTACCATTTGATCCAGCAATTCCACTACTGGGCATCTACCTAATAGATCAAAAGTCACTTTATGAAAAAGACATATGCAGTCGAATGTTTACAGCAGCACAATTCACAATTGCAAAGCTGTGGAAACAACCAAAGTGCCCATCAATTCATGAGTGGATTAATAAAATGTGGTATATGTATACCATGGAATACTACTAAGCTTTAAGAAACAATGGTGATGGCCGGGCGCGGTGGCTCACGCCTGTAATCCTAGCTCTCTGGGAGGCCAAGGCGGGCGGATTGCTCGAGGTCAGGAGTTCGAAACCAGCCTGAGCAAGAGCGAGACCCCGTCTCTACTATAAATAGAAAGAACTAATTGGCCAATAATATATATAGAAAAATTAGCCGGGCATGTGGCGCATGCCTGTAGTCCAGCTACTTGGGAGGCTGAGACAGAAGGATCGCTTGAGCCCAGGAGTTTGAGGTTGCTGTGAGCTAGGCTGACGCCACGGCACTCACTCTAGCCTGGGCAACAAAGTGAGACTCTGTCTCAAAAAAAAATAAAAAAAAAAATAAAAATAAGAAACAATGGTGATATAGGCATCTCATATATTCCTTGGATAAAGCTGGAACCCATTCTACTAAGTGAATATCTCAAGATTGGAAAACCAGCACCACATGTACTCACCAGCAAATTGGTATTAACGGATCAACACCTAAGCGGACATATAGGAGTAACATTTATCGGGTGTCAGGAGGGTGGAGGAAGGGATGGGTATATACAACCACGATTAAGATGTGCAATGTTTGAGGGATGAACACACTTGAAGCTCTTACTCAAGGGGGAGGGGGGCACGGGCAATATATGTAACCTTAACACTTGTACCCCCATAATACGCTAAAATAAAAAAAAAAAAAAGTGAGACCCCATCTTTACCAAAAATAGAAAAAATTAGCCAGTTGTGGTGGTGTGTGCTGTTAGTCCCAGCTACTAGGGAGGTTGAGGCAGGAGGATTGCTTGAGATCAGGATTTTGAGGCTGCAGTGAGCTATGATGAAGCGATTACACTGAAGCCTAGGATAGAGCCAAAAAACCCAATAAAACAGTATAATATGGAACAGCTCAATATACTGTGAGCCCCATGGATACACAACATTACATATCCATCTTTGTTTTAAGCTATTGATGATGCTGCTTTTCCCACATTGGGAAGCCTACAAAATTAAATGGAAAATGAACAAATGTAAAACATATGTATTGGTAGCTATAAAATTTTCACTGCCAAATTTTACATTTGCTTGATGTTTAGTGCAAGATCAGAGTTGGATCTGAGCGTCTTCACTTCACCTCTAAGACCAACCGTAGCTTCTTCATTTCTTGCACAAGTAATTAAAGGGCAGGAAAAGAATATTAATTCAAACAAACCAAGAATTTTTAGAAGCCAACTTCCTACAGTGCTCAGCCAAAACAAACAACTGAATCAGGCAGCAATTAAGTTTTTTTCTTTAAGTTTTTGGTAAGGTGGGCAAAAAGCTAATATTGTGAGCAAGCCTTTATTTAAACACTATTACTTAACATGAGAATCTTGATACTTTAAAAAACTCACCAATTACTCCAACTTGAATGGCTTTGCCATAAGTCTCCTGAAAACCTTCAAGAAGTTTCCAAAGGCCCTCTTCCCAAAGCAGACTTTACTTTTGAATGGAGCAGCTTTCTTCTTTACCTTCACATATTGAAATTCCAAATAATTAGTTTAATTATTGTGACAAGTCAGTAAAAACCAAGCAATCTGACTCTAGCACCCAGCTCTTAAAATCACTATACTTTACTGCCTTCCAGATGATCTCCGGATGAAATCAGAGTTGGATCTTGTAATTTTTCATTTTTTAAATCAAGATTTTGTAACTCATCTATTTCAACCATCCAAAATCTGAAAGAACCACATTTCTCACCACTAGGAGTAAAGAGTACCTTGGTTATTCTCCCTTTGTCCCTCGGATTTGTTGAGGCTTTGAACACCACTGTTGGCAATTCTTTCTTCAAATAATTTAGCCAGCTCTCCAAATTCTCCATTGGTACCAGATCTGACAGGAATTAGAAATAAGACAGTGCTCCATTTAGTCATTTTGTTGAGATTAATCTGCAATACATAGTAAACTGCTGATTTTACTCTGGTTTGCCTCTTCTGTTTTTTCAATTTAAGTAGAAATTGGGGAAGATAAACTCTCCTACTATGCTGCCTTTTTTTTTTTTTTTTTACCCACAAGCTATTTTCTTTATTCTGTGCATTAAATGCTTGACAACTTCTTTACTCAACTGCGTATAAGATCAACATTCATTTACATTTCTAAGTGGACTGTCTGTCATGGTTTAGAAATTTTGAATGACAAGAGCCAAAGCAGATTCTTATCTTAGTGTGCTGCCCTTTTCTTAACAGAGCTCAATATCTACACTCCTGTACTTCAATCCCCTCTGCATTGTTCACCTTTTCAGGACAGATTTAACATCTGTATTATGACCCCACTAACCTGATACCTCTATTTCCAGAATTTACTCTCAGCTTGCAGCCATCTGTTTCCTAACCCCAATAATTCTGGGTTCCATTTCAACTTTCTGCTTCATAAATCTTGGTTCTGGTTGTTCCTGTTCCTGCTGCTCAAATTCAGATACATAATTATGCATTTCACTTAAATATTTTGTCATATCCATCCCAATTTATCTCACTCCTGAACTAATACTCAACATAGTGTAGGTGTGGGGAATTTGGCACATAGTCATAACTTCCTACATGAAATATACTACTCAGTAAGCTGAGCATAGAAGCTCACACTCTTAAATAAGCTACAATGGTAAGTAGAAACCAGTCGAATAACTTGTAAAACCCACCCTACCCCCACTGCCCAGCACTGTCTTTGGCAACCAGAGTTCAATGCTCTGGCTCTGCTGAGGTCAGAGTTGGATCTTACCAGTCTCTCAGTGACAATCAGACTGTTAAGATGTTTTCCTCATACCTCACCAGTGCACATGGAGGACAACAGGCTCACCTGATTTATTTAATACAAGTACCAGCTTTTTCTGTCCATGCTGAACAATGGCCTTTTCTACCTGAGGACACCTGCAACCAAGAGGATCTCTGGCATCCAACACCTCTAGCACAACATCTGAGGCTTCAATCACCTGGCAAGCAAGGAAAAAATGATCAGAACTGCATCCCTTGCTCTGGTAATACCTTCAACAGGAGCCTACTGACATGATCAGCAAGGGGAGATCAGAGTTGGATCTCATGTCTTCACTTTGGTATGAAGAATGTTGACACACTCATCATTTCTCACAGGAAAATAAAATGCATAGGCTTGTTCAGCAGCCTCTGATCAACATGGATTTCAAAAGTACAAATAGCCCCAGCTATCTAAATACACAATCAGCCCATAGTGAATTATGTAGTTTGATAAGCCCTTTTGGCTTTGCCAAGAGTTGCTGAGAGGCACAGTCAGGTCCTATCCACAGCGGGTAGGGAGCCTGAGAAAATGGAACAATGGGGGATGGGAATGCTGTGGAGCAACCACCCAAAGATGACATCACCATCCTGACCTTCTTCACTTAGGTTTCAACAGAGTACTTCAGTACTTATTTTGACACTGCTTACATTAATATACTTTCCTCAATCTTAAAAAACACTATGTCAATGTGTTTCTTTAACACAATGTGCCACTTTGTTAAGTCATGCTTGGGGAAATAACTGTGTCTATGAAAAAATTTAAAAGCAAAGAAAATACTATCATCAGCTAAACACAAGAGGAGAGGCCTTAAAAAGGATAAGCCAAATTGCTAAAGGATTCTTCCAAGCTCAGGTGAACTCTTACTTCCATCTTTACAAGGCTGGTATTAGGTCAAGAAATTATTTGAGGCCGGGTGCGGTGGCTCACGCCTGTAATCTTAGCACTCTGGGAGGCTGAGGCGGGTGGATTGCTCAAGGTCAGGAGTTCGAAACCAGCCTGAGCAAGAGCAAGAGCAAGACCCTGTCTCTACTATAAATAGAAATTAATTGGCCAACTAATATATAGAGAAAAAAAATTAGCCGGGCATGGTGGCGTATGCCTGTAGTCCCAGCTACTTGGGAGGCTAAGGCAGGAGGATTGCTTGAGTCCAGAGATTGAGGTTGCTGTGGGCTAGGCTGACGCCATGGCACTCACTCTAGCCTGGGCAATAAAGTGAGACTCTGTCTCAAAAAAAAAAAAAAGAAATCATTTGAGTCTTTTAAACCTTGTTACCATTAATAGACACTGACCTAGGCTCAGATACCTTTTTAAGTTCTTGACAATACAACTTCTTTGAACTCTGTTTACCCGAAATGGCTTTGTTCTTAGTTTTGCAATGTCCAAATTCCTAGAATATAAAGGTGAAAAGGACACAAAATTATAAGTACAACAGTTGTAACCTGTGTCTCCATTTTCCATAACTGATTAGCAGTAGTGCAGTTGATATTTTAAATAAGGTAAGAAAGAGTATGAACTCAGTTTTCTTCTACCCAAGAAGCTCAGCAGCCCTTGCCCTTTGCAAGTGTTTTACTTCTATGTCAGAATTCATCTCATTTACAAAGGGACCTAATCATACCTCTTTCATGGGTTCCACATTAGATAGCTTAACACCAGGATTAGTTTCAAGTTTTCTTTTCTTATCTTGTTCCTTCTGCCTGTCAAGTTTCTGCTGCTGTTTTAGTTCTTCAAGCTGTGTCCGAGCCATAAAATAAATAGGTAAGCCGGTGACTAGTGCTGTTACCTTACTCTTAAAAAACATACCCACACTACATGGCTCACTGAAAATTTCGGCTAACATAACTTACCCGCTGTTTCCTTAGCTCAGCCTCACGAAGAAGAGCCTCCTTAAAGGGAGCACTATTTGGAACTCCTGGATCTTTCCTAGGCTTCTTGTGACCCCGTTTTTTAGCCTCCTTCCTCAATTTTCGATGGTGCTCTCGGACCTATTATAATAAACAAAGGTTATCTGTTTACAAAAATATTTTCATTTAAGCAGAATTCAAGTGAGAAACCAATCTGGCTGCAGTTTGGTTATGCCTGGAAAATGTCCTAGGAATATGGAGCTTTAATTGGACTCATACAGAGAGCATACATATTTATGTATAAATCAAAGAAAATATCTTTAAGCTAGGTATAGTGGCTCATGCCTGTAATCCTAGTACTCTAGGAGGCTGAGAAAAGAGGATTGCTTGAGTTCTGGAGTTGGAGACCAGCCTGAGTAAGTGACCTCATCTCTACCAAAAATAGAAAAAATTAGCCTGTCATTCCAGCTACTTGGAAAGCTGAGGCAAGGGGATCACTCAAGCCCAGGAGTTTGAGGTTGCAATGAGCTATGACAAGAAGCAACTGCACTCGACCCAGGGCGACAAAAACAAGACTCTGTCTCAAACAAAACAGAACAAAACTTTAGAAGGGTCTCTGCAGAAATTATTAATACGTTGAGCAGAGTTTACTGACTTTCTTATCACCAAATTACTGCACTTTCCCACAGCTGCACTCCTGATGCCTGACGGCTTATGCCCATGGTCCAATCCTATTTCCCAAGACTAAATCATATTAATCCAGACTTCTCCATGAGGACAGGGAAGCAGAAATCAGGTTAGCAATATATTTGCCATAACTCTCCTTACCACACTTACCTTTTTTTGGATTTTATACCTCTTGTGGCAGGTCATGCGTTTACTTGCTTTTTTCAACTCTAGAAAAAAAGCACATGACAAACAGACTAATACAATTGGTCTGCTTAGTTTTTGGTAAGCCCACTATGGAAATCACGTCCTTTGTGTTATTAGCTGTCAAACCTAACGTTAAGAACCATGTGGGGCGTTTCACACAAACATATATGCCACTCGCAAGTCCCAAAGAATTTGATTCAATAGACCCAAATTGGAGTCCAAGTTCCCTGCACCTACTCTTCCCACATTTGAATGGAATCACACGCAAGAGACCCCAAACGACAGCCACTTCGTCTCAAGCATTACAGATCACAAGGCAGGAAAGAACAGTGGGTTTGCGAGGCAGCTCTTAGCCGACGTGCACGTGCCCGCAAAAAAACAAATTTCGGGCACGAAGCCTGACTCAGACGCTATTTCCTAATGAGAACCTGGCCCAGTTTTCCTTCCGCACAATGAGCCCGCGGTTAACAGGATCGACCTAAGGTCTTTCAACTCTCGGTTCTACGTGGGGACAAGGCGGCGGCCTACCCATAGGCTCCCACCACAACCTCCGCAGAAGAGCGCCCGGGTGGGTTCGGCGACCACCAAACAGGGCTCCCTCCACGGCCACCTCCCGACCCCACTCACTTGGTCGCTTCATACTGGCTGAGGAAACGACAGTGGCAGCTGAAGCAGCGGCAACAGATAACTCCGCAGGCGCCACGTGCGAACTAAGGCCTCTGACGATCGCCACGCAATTACGCTGCCGCCGTAAAGTGCGCCACCGTCCTTTCGTGTGCGCGCGCACGCAGTGTCGTGAGGATCCGGGATTGCTTGGCGGCCGCCCGGGCTGGTTTTGCGGCGGCACCGGGAGGGGTGAGGGCGGTGAGGGCGGCGGGTGCCCGAGCGACGGCAGCGGCCGCGGCCGGAGGAGCAATAGCAGCAGCCGTGGCGGCCACGGGGCGGGGCGCGGCGGTCGGTGACCGCGGCCGGGGCTGCAGGCGGCGGAGTGGCTGGGTAAGGCTGGGACCGGGGCGGGCGGGGCCGTTCCCCCTCGGCCAGCTGCCGGGCCTTTGTGTGGGCCCGGGCGGGCGGGAGCCGCCGCGGAGGCCCCGCCCCGGCCGTGCGGACGCGCCGGTCGGGCCGGCGCGCGGGCGGGGCGGGGTGTGGCGGCGGGCCTCGGGACGGGCCCCGCAGCCTTGCCGCACCTGCCAGCCGGGACAAAGGCGCGCCACGGCCCAGAAACTCCCGGCGCCCTGCTTTCCCGCTCGTCGCGGGGCAGCTTCAAAGCTGTCAACGTTTTCCTTAGTCCCCTTACCAGTGACAGGTCGGGAAGATCCTTCATTTTCTCCGCCGCTCTGGGCCTCCTTTTTTGGTGGTGGTTTTTTGACGGTGCGACACAAACTCTCCTGATGATCTTTTTTTCTTTCCGTATTTTTTCCGAGTATTTTTATCAGTGGAATTTGTATTTAGAGTAGAAGCTAGGTATTTGAGCTTCTTAACCCCACAAAGAATCGCGGTTTTGAAAAGCGTACATTTCCTGGTTTGGGGAAGCATAGTTTTGTTATTATGAGGAAGAAGTTTTAAAGGGGGAGAAAGAGTTGTAAAAATATAGAAGAAATCCTGAAAAACAAGTACACATTATACTGAATATAGACATTCTTTAAATTATGGAAGCATGTGTTAGAGCAGAACATTTTAATTTACAACACACTAGGACTCCTCAAAAATGATTTTAGGTGTTTTTTCTCATTTGGTAGTGCATTTTTCCCGAATATAATTCATAGGCAAATTGGACACAATGTAAATATTAAAAAGTAGTATAATTTTTGCTTTATTATTAACATTGTCAGTATTTTGGATTTTAAGATTCAAAATGGATGTTGGATAGTGCCTTTTAAAGAGGTGTTTCAGATTAAAACAAATATGTTATGAATGGAAGGGCCTTGATTACTTTCTTTGGCTTTAGGAATGTACAAAATACCACCGATATTAATATTATACCCAAATCCCCAAGATAAATAAATTGTAGTATATCTGTATGATAGGCTAAAATCATGCCATCAAAATCTTGAAAAAGGATGTTAACTTGAAAGAATCTTCCCTAAGTTAAAACATAGGCTGCAAAATAATACATATGGTTTGTTGACACTTTGGTGAAAAAAAAATAGGTAACTAAGGCATAGATACATACCGAAAATTCTCAACACCAACGTGATTTTTCTTTGGGAAGTAGGATTATAGGTGCATTTTTTTCTTTGAGTCTTCTGTTTTCTAAGATTTTTGTTTTAAGCATGTATTACAGTACTGACTATCACTAGAAATACAGGGGAGTACTTAAAAGTTTATAAACTGTCAAAATAAACTATTTGCTATGTTGACTATTTCCCCAGTTGCACATTATAAAGTATTCTTTACTGTCCACTGTAAATTATCATTGGTTGTCAGACTTTTGAACTTGTGACTGTAATCATGGCGGTTTTAAAACCTGAAATTGAGCTGCAGAATCTATTTCTTTCCTCTTCATGGAAAAAAAATGCCAAAGGGATGCTTACACACCTTTAAAACTACACAAGCTTTTCCTAAAGGTTGCACTTAATTGTACTTTTTTTTTTTTTTTTTTTTTTGAGACAGAGTCTCACTTTGTTGCCCAGGCTAGAGTGAGTGCCGTGGCATCAGCCTAGCTCACAGCAACCTCAGACTCCTGGGCTCAAGCGATCCTTCTGTCTCAGCCTCCCAAGTAGCTGGGACTACAGGCATGCGCCACCATGCCCGGCTAATTTTTTCTATATATATTAGTTGGCCAATTAGTTTCTTTCTATTTATAGTAGAGACGGGGTCTCGCTCTTGCTCAGGCTGGTTTTGAACTCCCGACCTCGAGCAATCCGCCCACCTCGGCCTCCCAGAGAGCTAGGATTACAGGCGTGAGCCACCGCCGCCGGCCCTAATTGTACTTTTAATACATTTATTAAAAAGATAAATTGAGCACCCAGATAAGACAGGGCTAATAAAATTAATAAGATACTATTCCTGTGCCCAGGGAGCATGCAGTCCTAGAGTTGTGCTTTCGAATTTCAAAATGATTTCATGCATAGTCTCATTTCACTGTCACAACAAATCAAAAGATATAGGTACACTTTACTGTTCTCATTTTAAAGATGAAAAAACAGATCTGAGAGGTTGTGATTCAGGCAATATCAAACAGATAACTAGAGCTAAAAGACCTAGGACTCCTATTCTGGTCTTACCAGCATAGGTCCTGTCGCTTCTCTCACCTCACAACATTAACTCTCTTGCCAAACTTTCAACATAACATTTTAAAATGTATTCTTTGGATGAGAAAATACTTGAAAATTATCCGTAAGTTGTGTCTGTTTCTTGTCTTATCAAAGAAATGATTCAAAGATTGTGGGATATTATATCATCTCAACTATATACACATACTGATAATTTACGTTTTTTGTCATTTGATTTTCAGTGGACTATTTGTAAAAGTAATTTTGAGCTCTTGCCAAAGTGGTTAAAGAGTTTTTTTAACCTTGTTAAACTTATTATATATGATTTCTTCCCAATGCAGATAGGACTTTTGGAAAGAAATATTGTCTTACTCTGAATTTTTATAGGAAAGAGTTTTCCAGACTCTTTGCTCACGTGAGCCATTCTCGGTTTGTTCTGACTTGCCAACACTTGGTGTCACATGTGAGTGAGCCTTCCACATGTGTTTACTCTCTATTCTAGCTCTGTGATTGAACTCTACTCTTATTGACTAGGGGACAGTTGGGCAGGCATGCTTCATTCCTGGAATTGACAGTCATTCCATGTGAATAAAGGGGAACCTCAATGAAACATCTTTAAAAACATACGAAAGGATTTGGTGGTTTTTTTTTTTTTTTTGGAGACAGAGTTTCACTCTGTTGCCCGGGCTAGAGTGTAGCGTGCCATGGCATCAGCCTAGCTCACAGCAACGTCAATCTCCTGGGCGCTCAAGCCATCCTTCTGTCTCAGCCTCCCAAGTAGCTGGAACTACAGGCATGTGCCACCATGCCCAGCTAATTTCTTTTATATATATTTTTTAGTTGGCCAATTAATTTCTTTCTATTAATTTCTTTCTAATTAATTTCTTTCTTTTTAGTAGAGATGGTGTCTCACTCTTGCTCAGCCTTGGTTTCCAACTCCTGACCTTGAACAATCCACCCACTTGAACCTCCCAGAGTGCTAGGATTACAGGCTTGAGCCACCACTCCTGAGCAAGGATTTGGTTTTAAAATGAAAGAAATGCTGGGTACTGTTAGTGCCCAAGCCTTTGCAAGTGGTTTGTTTGATAGGTACCATAGAACTGATGTACCTATTTTCTCCAGTTCTGTTACCTTTCTTTAGCAGTTCTATTTGAATGTTTTCTATCTATTCGTACTCATTTTTACTCCTTCTGACCCTGCTTTTCTATTTCCTCTTTCTCTACCTTGTTCTTCTCTTTCAGTTTTGAATATACTAACACTGAATCAGCACTTCTATAGCCCTGCCTTCTCCCACTGGCTTCAGTTGGCCTACAGACATAATGAGGAGACTGGCTTTTCGAGGCGCTGGTTGTGCTCTGGTAAAGCTGGTAAATTACTGATCATCTACACCCTTTCCCTTTTCTGTCCTTCCTTGCCTTTTCCCTTCCACCTTTCTTAAATTTTTGTTATCCTTTCCATAAGTATTCCCTCCTTATCTTCATCAAATTCATTTGTGTCCTTGTCATAGATTGTTTACCAAGGATTCCTAAATTTTTTATCTTAATGAATTGAAGCAAGTTTATCAGCCTTTTATATAATGAACAAAAATCAGCAAAACTTGGCTAAGTTTTGGCCTAAGCATTTTGAAGCTTTTAGCTACTTTTAGCCAATTTCAAAGTAATGCATAATAATGTATAATAAACCAAAACCTAAAGGAAGGAACGTCATCATAGTAGATTCTGTTTTAAAGCACTATGTGTACTTTAGTTTGAAGAAAGAGATAGGAGACTTCTCTTGTTTCTTATTACTTACCAGGATTTTTTTATTTGCTTATTTTGCTCCAGCTTTCTGTTCCCTGGAGATCCCCAGCTTTTCTCTCCATACTACTGGCAACCAGTGCTCTACTGTTCATAATTATTCAGCTGCTGGTATCTTAATTTCCTGAAATTGAATGTCAGTGAGTGAAACTGGGATCTGTTTTTTCTTTTAGCTTTAAAATATCCTTTGAAATCACAATATACCATTTGGTACTGTTATTATTAGTAAATTGCATAAGCATTGTAGGACTTTCTTTGGTTTACACCCTTTCTGTCAGTAGCAGATCATTCCAGTGGTTGCGTTTCTTGTGTTATTGTCAAATGCATGTTTGTAAAGTTTCGTTAAGATTGGTTACTTAGCAGCCAGCCCCAAACCAATGAAATATTTGTGTGTTTCTGAACAACCATGCAGGACCTAGACCTAAAAGCTCACATTATGAGGTGCTATTCCAAATTATTTACTGAGACTTAAAACTATGATTTCAAAATTTATGGGGAATAGAATACCACATATAACTGAAAATGAAGTAGTTTAGATTAACAGAAGAGTTTCAAAGGACAGTTTTGCTAATTTTGCCTATGTATGGCAAATGTCAAGTGTTTTCTAGAAGTATCTCTGTGGATCCTGCTTCAGTGAATGGTGAAAATTCATTTTCAGGGTGTGTTAATTTTAGGGTATGTCTAAAATGCTAAATGGCTAATTGTGCTCTGTCCCCTTACCTTTTTTGCACCACTCATTTGTCTTAGGCAGTGCTTCCTACTTTTTTCTGTGTAATGGCCCTCCTGGAAAATGGTCATAATTGTAAGGCACA